GACGAGTGAAAAAATAAACAAACGAACAAACAAACAAACAAACAAATTTTAAGAATAAAAAATAAAAAAAAATTTAAATTAAAAGGAAATTAAAATTTATTGAAAATTTTCATTTCATTTTCCACATTTCATTTTTATATAACTTATAGTCCCTCCCCTTCTTATCTCCCTGTTTTTCCTGTTGCTCCCTCCCCTCCCCCTTCCCTTCCCCCTTTCCCTTCCGAAAACAAATCATTTGTTAATTAAAAAGATTTTTACTTTTAAATTTTGAATCTTACATACATATATATAAACCTTGAATAAAATCCCATAAAATCTTTTAAGACCATTAAGAAAAAAAATAAATAAATAAGTTTCAGAAAAAAGAAAAAAGGATGTTCAATAATAAATTATTAACGAAGTTTGAAAAAGGGTTTGAGAAAGAGAGAGAGAGAGAAATGAAAAAAACCTTTTTCGTGTGCCTTTTTTTCCCTTTTTTTCTTTTTTTTTTTTAACGACAGGGATTTAATTTGTAAATTTTAAGACTTTAATCTCTGTGTTATTTCATTAGATTATTTAAAAAAAAATTTTTTATTTCTCTTACCTCTTCTTCTCTCTGTGTGTTTGTGATCCTTACGCAGCATCCCAATATACTCCTTTTCCTCCTTTATCGTTTCTATTCAGCCCCTCCTTTCTCCGTTCCTCCTAAAGAAAAAAATAATAATAATATTAAAAAAAAAAGGTTTTTTTTTTTTTAAATTGTTTGGAAATTTAAATTTCGAATTTGATAGTAGCAGAAGAAAAAAAAAAAAGAAATTTTTTTTTTTTTTTAACAATTGATTGAATCTTTTGTCAATTAGCTTTTAGTTAACGAAATTGAATTGAATCGATTTTGCCTAAAGGAAAACAACCGGATATTGTGCCTTTTTCCTTTTTATAACAACGTTTACATTACATTTATTTATTTTACTCGAATCAAATTTTTTTTTTTTAAAAAAAAAAAAAAAAAAAAAAAAGGAAAAGAAGAATAAAAAAAAAAAGTTTTTATGTAAAAAAATCGTTTTTTTTTTTTTTTATCAAGGACGTAATTGAGGTTAAATTAAAGCAAAAGACGAAAAAAAATATTTAAAAAAGAAAACATATATACGATTGTTTTCTTTTTGCAAACGCCATTTTTTTTTTTAACAAATAAAAAAAAAAAAATATATATATATATATGTAAAAAAAATTAGTTTTCCTTTGTTCGACATTAAAAATTTCCCTTCCTTTGGGACCTTTGAAAATCGACTTTTTTTCCCTTATTAACGATACCCCCACCCCCTCCCCTCCATTTTTTTTTTTTTTTTAATTCTTTACTTCCCAATCCCAGGAAAAAAAAATTTTTAATTTCTCCAGTCACGTTCTCCAGTTAATAATTAATTATTTAATTAATTAATTAATAAATAAATAAATAAATTTTTTTTTTTTTATGTGTCTGTGCGTGATTTTTTTCCGGAAATGATAATATTTTTTCTAGAAAATTCCAATTTATCATTAATTAATTAATTAAATAAATAAATAAATAAATAAATAAATAATAAGAATGGGAAATTTTTTCCCCATTTTCTAGGCATTATTTTTAATGAATGAAATAAAACGGGGGGTAAAGAGGAAGGAGAGGAGAAGAGGGAGGAAGGAAAAAAAAGGTTAAAAACCTTTTTACTAAAAGGTCACAACGAAAGGTTGATTAATCGTTACGTTTGTAAAGTAAAAAAAAAAAAAAAAAAATTCTTTGACCTTGAATACATTAAAACCTAATAAATTAATGGGAGTTAAGAATGGAGAGAAAGAATAAAAAAAAAAAAAAATTGAAAATTATCGTTAGGTGAAAATAATGAATTACATTTCTTCCATCCATCCATCCATCCATGAACCCTGTTAATTCTTATTAAAAAAAAAAAAAACATGAAATTCATCCATTAAGAAAAAAACAGGAAAAATTTTTAAATAATCAAAAAGAAAGAGAGTGAGAGTGAGAAAAAGAGTGTGAGAGAGAAAGAGAAAGAAAAAAAGTTAATCGATTATGCAAAAAGATGATTCTTTCAGAAATTTCTGGAGAAAAAAAAAAAAAAAATTCTTTTTTCTTTCCTTTTTTTTTCCTTTTCTTTCCTTTTTTTCTTCTCCAACTTCCAGTTAAGTGATCACGACAAAGAAAAAAAAAAAAATTTTTTTTTCCCTTCAGTGAGTCATTAAGTTGCTTTTTACACGAAACCCTCAAATCAAAAAAAAAAAAAAAAAAAATCCACTTGCGTGGGTAACATAAATAAAACGTGGAAAGGATGTAGAAAGAGATAGAGATAGAGAGTGAGTGAGAGAGAGAGAGAGAGTGAGATAGAAAGAGAGAGAGGGATAATGAAAATTTTGGACAATTTCTCCCTATTTTTATTTTTAAAAAAAATCCCTTAAAATAAAATCCTCTCCTTCTTGCACCTTACACGTTAAATAAATTATCATCATCATTATTATTATTATTCAGAATCATATTAAATCAATGATAATAATAATACCTGAACGTTAAATTAATTATTTGCAAAATTAAAAAACGAATAATTTTTTTTTCTAGAAGAATTTTCCTGGGAGGGAGGTGAAGGGGGCGGAGAGAAAGGAGGAATATAAAAAAATATTTTTTTACTAACCGGATAAGAAAAAATTTTTTTCCTTTTCCCTCATAATCCATCATTTTCTTTTTCTTGGGGGAATGGGGGGATGATACATATAAAATCTAAGCTTGAAAAGTCGTTAAATAAAAAATCTTCTTTCGATTCCATAATAAAAATTTTTTCTCTCTCTTCATTTTTCAATTGTGTGTTTAAATTTATATGTATAAATTTTCTTTTTACTCTCTTCTTGTAAACCGGAAATAAAAATAAAAAAAACTTTAATAAATACGTTTAAAACAAAAACAAAAAGATTTAAATTTTATTACTTAATTTATTACTAATACGTAGAAACTTTTTTTTAATAATTCAAATAGAATAAAACAATTTTTTTTTCCACCGTTAATAATAAGGAAGGATAAATCAACCCCTAAAAATTATTATATCTCATTACGTAGGTTCCCTTAGGGTGTGTTCCAGAGTGTGTGTGTGTGTGTTTTTAGAATGAGTAAGCTTGCGTGCCTGATTCACGTTATAGATAATGAATCAGGGTCACAAGTCATGAGAGTTCATTATTTGTTTTTTTCCTAACAAACTCCCAAAAAAAAAATTACTTTATGGATTTACCATTATTTATTATAAGTATTAATTTCCAGTTAATGTGACACCGAAACAAAATGGCCGTCGAAACTTGTTAATTATTTTCTACTTTTTTTTTTTTTTTTAAACTTCATTTTGAATGCGGGTACGGAAAAACGTTTTGGACGACGACGACGGATGGTGACAAAGTTTTTTTTTTTTTTTTTTTTAATTAGATTTATTTCCAGCTGGAATTTAACAAAAAAAAAGCTTTTTATCAATTCAGCATGAAATTGATTATTGCAATGATAATAATAATAATAACAATTCATGAGTGATACCCTTGGCGGTACTTACACTCTCTCTCTTACGACGGCCCGATGGGGATAATACAAGAGTCGTGGCCAATTATTTACTTGATACATGACATGACCAACTTGTCCTCCATGTTTTTTTTCTATTCGATTCTGGAAATTTTTTATGAAATCTAAAATCCCTACCACGTGCAAACATTTCATAAATAAACATTTCTTTTTTTAACTTATAAATATTAATCTAAAGTACATTTAAAATTATAAAATAAAAATAATTCACGATTGTTGTTGTTGTTGTTGTTTGTCTCTTGTCCGGTTAAAAAATAAAATTCCAGGATAAAAAACAAACAAAAAAAAAACAATTTTTCCTTTCACATTTTATTAATTAAAAATTATTATCATTATTTTTTTGTTTGTTTGCGCTTTTTGATGAATCCGTTTAAAAATAAAAAATCAAAAAAGATTTATGTCTACAATTTTCCCTCCCTCCCTCCCTCCCCCCTTTTTTGTTTTCTCCATTCTCTTTACAACAAACAAAAATTTAAATTTAAAAAAAAATAAAACAAATTTTAATCGGATTCTTTTTTCTTCTCCTTCTCCTTCTTTTTGACATTTTCTTCTCTCGAACAAACAAATTAATGCAATAAAATAAAATAAAAAATTTTCTTCATCTCGTTTTATTCTTTTCTCTCTCTCTCTCTCTTTCTCTTTTTTTTTTTACTTTGGAAAACAATTTAATTCAATCACAATGTAAACAATAAAAAACACTCAATATAGTAAGTAAGTAAATAAGTAAGTAAAAGTAAAGCAAATTAAATTCATTCGGAATGAATTTTTTTTTCTTTTCCGTTCTTTTTTTCTTTTTGTTAAATACTGTTGATGACGTCACCTTTACGAAAAAATTAATTTTCATCATCTATGTCTAATAATAATAATAATAATAATAATAATAATGATAGTGACAATTTATTTTCATTACTGTTTTTAACAGTAGGCTGATAATTACTAACTTAAATTACTTTTTGTTTGTTTCGAGGGGCAAATAGCACATACATTTGGGGCGGTAATATATATATAGCACAATCATACTACTATAAAATAACTACTACATCTAATTAAGCAATTAAAAACTGTTAAATGTACAAAATATTATTTTCGGTTCAACAACCGTGACAAGGTAGAGAAATAAATTATTATTTCTTTCTATTTATCTTTCTTTCATTATTATTCTTTCTTCTTCGAGTCCTTCTTCTTCTTCTTCTTCTTCTTCTCTTTGTTTTCTTCGTCCTCGATAATAAATATTCCTATTCATTCCTCCAGTAAAAAATAAAACCACGTTTTTATGAATTGTTACTTCGCGTCGGTTTCCATTGTTACTGCTTCGTCCTTTTTATCTTTCTTTCCGTCCACAGCTGATGGAGAAAAATAAAGTTTTATATATGATAACAAAACAATATGTCATAAGATAATCGTACCAGGAAAAAATTAAAAATCATTTACCCTCGCTGCTCTCTCCTCCACTTCCCTCGCGTCTTCTCTTACGTAGAAACCTATTGATTCTGTTAAATTTGAGAGGAGGTAGAGGATCCATGCCTAAAACTTTATGGATCTGTCGAAAACTAATCAGTCTCAAAGCGTGCTGGAAAGAAACAAGGACACGTTCAGACACGTTCGAACGTTTTTATTCGAATAACCTAATAAAAAAAAAAAAAAAATCTTACCTGCGCCGAAGCTGTGATATCTTCTCTTTGCTGATTTGATATATTTCCGAGTGCGTCCACGGGTTCTTTTTCGCAGGGATCCGTGAGTCCGGGACCGCCGGGAAGTAAAATCCCCGAAGCCACGGCTTCCATGACTCGCCTCAGAGAATCTCCTAAACTGAGAGGACAACTGGCAGAACTTATGACTTTTTCCACCAGCAACTCCATGGCCTGTAAATAATTATTTTATTTAAAAAAAAAATAATTTACGAGTAATTTCAAATGATAGAAGGAAAGTCGTGTCGCCATTTTCTTACCCAACTGTTTAGAGGTGCCCAAATGGGAACTCGCTGACAGAGATCTCGAATTATCCGAATGATCATGACGCAACTTTGCAACCCGTTTGCTCTAGCCTAGAAAAACATAAAAAAAAAAAAAACAAAATTTTGATCAGTGCCGTAGTAAGAGAACCGCAACGAACGTCATTGCCATAATCGTCATGCTCTCCCTCAACACGTACATCAATCAACTCAAATTCATTTTAAAAATAATAATAATAATAAAAATTGAATAAATTGGGTTGATCGTATGCACATATACAAGACAAACAATCTGAATAAAAATAATAATAATAATAATAAAAAGCAAATTCATAGTCAAACAAAATTAAAAATAAACATAATAATACCGCGTTCACATACGAATAAGAAAAAAAAAAAAAAAAATCACACAGGAAAATAAATAATAAAAAAAAAAAAAAAAAATTTTCTTTCTTTTTTTTTATAATCAAATTTTCAACTACAAAAAAAAGAGAGAGAAAGAGAGAGAGAGAAAGAAAACCCGATAATCAATCAACAGAAAAAGAAGAAAAAAAAAAAAAAAATTTTCTTTATTTCTTTTTTTTTTTTCTTTTTCCGTTAAAATGATTAATATTATTATTTCGACTATGAATTTTTCTCATACGGTATATCTTTTTTTTTTTTTTTTTTTTATTTATTATTATTATCGGGGATGATAATAATAATAATTAAAAAAAAAAAAAAAAAAACATATACCTAACATTATTTTTATTATTCTAACCGTTTTTTTTTTTTTACAAGTTACTTAATTAATTAATCAATACGGAATTTCACTGTTAACATTTAAAAATTGACTTTTTCTTTTCTTTTCTTTCTTTTTGCCACATTTGAGCAAAATAAATTTTAAAAAAAAAAAAAACCTAAATTTACGACCGAGAAAAAAGCAAAAAAAAATAATAATAATAATTATCACTTTATCGATATCACTCTCGAAATAACTTTGTATAAAAAAAATGCTTAAACGATCATCATCATCATCATCATCTAAATTCGTACTAAATAAATAAATTTACTTTTCAAATTTTTACCAAGTTTTTAATACTGATAATAATAATAATAATAATGACATAGAAGTTTTGACCCTTGATAAAAACTATGTAAAAATTTGAATTAGACTTATATAAGAAGAGATTCTTAAGGTTAAGAATGAAATTCCATTGGTTCAAACCTGAAACCATTTAGCATGCCTAAGAGCGGCTAAAGCGTCGAGACATTTGCTCTTGTCAAGGACATCTGGCGGATCCTTTTGGACAGGCTTCTTGGGCTCCGCGGACTTCCCCTCTACGAATTAAAACCGGCCATTAGCAATCACCAAGGATGTTTCAACATTTGCAATTAAATAACTAACGCTAAATATTATTTTAGCCTTAAAAAAAAGCAAAAAATGAGATTCTGCTGCGCAAAAATTATTAATTTATCAAATATCAAATAATAATAATAATAAAAACCAAAAAAAAAAAAAAAAATCAAAACAAAAAGACAAAAAACGAAAATAATAATAATAATGATAATTGTAAAATTTCTGGGCAAAGTTCCTTCCTAATAAAAATTACATTAATTCATAATTGATCATTTTCGCAAATAAAATTCTACGCCAGGAAAAATTACTTTTTCTTTGTTCAGAAATAATAGAAAAAATTTGAAAACGATTATTTAAATAAAAAAAAAAAAAGTTCAGATTTAAAGACAACCTATGATTCTGATCATTCTGATTGACTTTTATCAATTTTAACTAATTAGAGTTTGAGCGAAATAAACAAAGAGAATTTAAATTTTCAATAATGACCGTTAAAAAAAAAAAAAAATTTGCGAAAATCAGAATTTCATTTACAAATACTGAGAAATCCTTGCAAATTGCTCATGACCAATGGTCTCGAACCAACAACCTAGAAACTTAACAATTAAAAAAAAAAAAAGAAAAAAAAAAGATAAAAAATAAAAAAAAACAGGCTCATGAAAAGAACAATATTTAAAAATAACTCAATCACAAGTCAATATATAAAAATCAATCCTATAAATCGAAAATAATGCAATAACATTGATTGGGACCTGTGAAAGAGATTAAATATTTTCATAAAAAATTTATCCTTTTCTTGGCCTGAATTTTGCTAGCTTATCCTTGAGGCCACAAGCTAGCAAAACAAAAAAAAAATTCATCCAGGGGCCATGTTTCTAAAAAAAAAAAAAAAAAACCACCATCCTTTGAACATTTATCGTAATCTTCAGGCCAGTTTCCTTTTCAATCCTTTGAAAAATATCTGGTGAATTGAAGTTTTCATTTCAATATCACACACGGTTCTTCTTGACTTTTGCTAACTCTCTCTCTCTCGAGAAAGAGAGAGAAAGGTTTCAAAATTGAACACGGTCTACTTTGTCTTCTCGAATATCGAACACATCAATCGAAATATTTTTAGACGACCTAAGATATTTAAAGAAGAAAATTTTATTTCCCCCTTTTAAATTCTTTCCGCATTTATAATTAAAAAAAAAAAAAAAAAAAAAATCGTTCCGTTTTTCAAAAAATAATTATTGGGCTCGAATGAATTTTTTTTTTTTTTTTTGCTCATCGTTGCTTATGATAATGCTTGAAAAAATTAAATTATAAAATACCGATAGCAATATATGACTTTTTCTTTTCCTTTTCTTTTTTTTTTTTTTTTTTTTTTTTTTTTTAATACTAAATGCGATTAGAATTTTAAACCAAAGGTCAAAGCAGGACGCCTAAAAATAAGTTCCGATGATGATTATAAAAAAAAATAAATAAAATAGATCAAAAACCAAGCCCTCGATGTTCAAATTTTTTCAAAGGTGTGGCCCCTGGTTAATAATTTCAATTGCCAGTCATTTTCACTAACCACCGGTAGGAGTTTCAACAGCAGGCTGCTCCCTCATGAGAGGAGACGTCAAAGTGATTGTCACCGTGTAGTGGGGTTCTTTTGTGTCCATTATCGTGATCGCAGCATCCTCTGGTTTTTTTTGAACCATGTACTTCTCTTCAGGAGCAACTACCTGCAATAAAGATAACAATAATAAAATTTCGATTATTGTAAAAAATAATAATAGAAGGCAATTTTTTTTTAATATGTCGAACATCAGAACTCGAAGCAAAATTAAATTAAATTGAATGCTAATAACTTACTTGCAACTGTTTAGGAAGATTTTCCGCGACTTTAAACAACAACGTTCGTGTTGGCTTCTCCGCACATAAAACTACAAGATCAACAGCGGTATCTCCACTCAATAGAAGGCCTTTAGCCAAACATCCAACTCTCATGGCACCTTTAAGCATACGAGATTGCGTTTCTTCTTTGCCTTGATGAAAAGAAAACCTTAAAAGATAAAAAAAAAAATCATTATTAAATAAATTATTTTTAGTAATTTTAGGGTTTTGTAAATTTTGTCGGATTATCAAAACTTTAAAGAAAAAAAAAAAGCTTACAGGGTATTATCACTTCCATCGACTTTTTTAACTTCTTCTTTTTTATCTTCAGTTTTTACAGTCGGAGTTGCTGTAGTTGATGCAGAAGTTGTAGCAGGAGTAGCAGCAGCGCCAGGTGTAGCATTTGTATTGGTAGTTGTGGTGGTGGTGGCGGCGGCGGCGGTGGTAGTAGACGTAGATGCAGGCGTTTTGGCTGGAGTCGTTTTAACACCTGATTTTGTTGTCCCAGAGTTTGCTGATTTGAAAAATAATTAATTAGAAATTTTTTTTACAAAGAAAAAAACAACATTTGAAAGTATTAAATATACTTTGATAATTAACTCACCAGTTTTTTTAGCCATTTCTTCAGTTAAAAGATCCGAGACTAGTTTTAAAGCTTTTTCATTGTGAGATACGATTTTGTGAACAGCGTCCAACTCTTCTTTTTTAGGGTAAATACTGGCATGTCGATTAATCACATGACGATCATCAGAAGTATCTGGTTTACGTAACGGGTAAAACTACGTAGAAAAATTAAACAAAGAATAAAAGTGCATTAGTATTAATGTAATTATTAAAAAGGCGACAAATAAATAAAGGGAAATAAATTATCAGGAGCCAAAAGTCATCAATTAATCAGACTCGTCATCAAATTGTCATCATTTGAAAATAAAAATAAAAATAAAAAAAAATTTTAAAGGCAAAAATTTTAATTTCAAACATACCATTCCGTACATAGCGTGAGGACCTTCGTGAGGAAAAGATCTGGGTACCATTGGAGGCACTGGATAACCACTAAACAGAGAAACACGTATGAATAATTAACGACAATCAAAACCCACTTCTCTCTTCATTTTTATAAATTTTCAAATTATATTTACCCCCAAGCCTCCTCTCTCTGCCTGTAAAATTCTTCCCTTTGATGCCTTCTAATTTTCTCTTCGTGTAATTTTTTTGATTTGTTATTTGGTTTGACATCGACAACTAATTGAGGATCAACTTTTTTCTTATATTGCAGTCTGTGACGTCGACCCTTCATATGCATTTCTTTGGCATTGGGATCATTGAATTTACATTCGCATAATTTACAATTAAAAACAAGTTTACCTATAAAAAGAAAAAATGAAAACAAAAAATAAATAAATAATCTACCGAAATAAACTTCATTTCTTCTTCTCCTCCCCCCCCCCAAAAAAATAAAATTAATATTACTTCATGCTCTGTAGAACTAAATTTCTTCCGTAAAATCCGTAAAAATACGAATTTCTCAGGACTCTAGCCAAAATCATCATAGCATAAAAGTCAACATTTTAAATATTGAATAATAATAATAATAATAATTACCATCTTCGCTTTTGAGGTCTTCAATATAATCGAACCCGACGGGTTCTATATCAGGTTCTGAAGTGTCCATCTCGGATGATTCCCCGTCTACGAAAGTAGCTGTTGTAGCAGTAGTAGTAGTTGTTGTTGTTGTTGTTGTTGCTACTGCTGCTGCTGCTGTTGTTGTTGCTGCGAAAGTATTTTAACAAAAGTAATTAATAATTTTATTTTTTTTTGATGATCAGACGTATTGCATGCTAATTTTTTTTTTTTTTTTTTTTTTTATCAGAATAAAATAAAAGGGAACAAAATATTCTTCACAGAGCTTCAAAGCGAGCTAGGTGTGTCATCATTTTGAATTTTTTAATTAATAAAAAAAATAAATAAATAAAAATGGTAATAATTACTTGTTGGGGGTTTCACTGTCGCTGCTTTTACAGGCTGCTCTGGCTTTTTAACGACAACTGGATCGGCAGTCGGTATCGGTTTTCCAAGCCTAGTATGAAGTTTGACAACCTAACGACAGAAATAAAACGAAATTGAAACAAAAATAAAATAAAATAATAAAATTTTATATACACCGATTTAATTAAAATAATACCTTTTGGTGTTTCGCTCCTCGAATATGAGCAGCATAAGCGTCATTTCCTGTACAAGTGACCTCACACAATTCGCACACTAAAGAATTACTATGGCGAGCCGGAGGCGGAGCAGGTGTCCCAATAATTTTGGCCGCGCTTTCTTTTTTCTTGTGTTTTTGCCCTTCCAAATGTTCACGGTACGTCTTTAACAAAATAAAAAAAAATTACCAAACGATTTCATTAATAAAAAATTAACAGTACGAAAATGATTCTCACCTGAGGACCACCACAACTAATTTTACATACTTCGCAATATAATAACTGTTGAGGTTTTGGAGCGGGTTTTAATTTTCGGATTCCACCCGCTCCAACTACTCCGGATTTTTTATAAGTCTGCCAATGTGTACCGGGAACTGCAAAAGTAAAAGAAAATTATATTTCAACGACAACCTAATATTCATTTCTTCTTTTTTTTTTATATAGTAGCTTGTATAAATACATGTAAACTATTAAAGACAAAATTCTAATTCAAATTAAAATAAAAAACTTCACATCTCTGGAGCAGTTTTTTAAAATTTGTTAAAGCAAGAAAAAAACAAAAAAAAACCGTTAAATTATAACCATAATATTTTTTATGTACCTGGCTTGCCCATAACTGGTTTATTTACAGAGGTTGTATTGCCTCCACTTGCTTGTTGAGCCATAAACACAGAGGTTCTGCTACAAATAACAGCTTCGTAACCAGGGTATGCAGTACTAGAAGCAGAAGTTTGAGCAGCTGAAAGTGAATAAACATGACTGGAATACATTGTTACTAAATAAAGCAAGTGAAGAAAACTTTTTTTTTTTTAAATATAATATATGCAATATATAAATAAGAAATAATTGACCAAGCCAGGTATTAAATTAATAAAAACTTTTTTTTTTTAAATTTAAAATAAAACAATTTAAGCACTGCTCCATAATTTGGCACTTAAATGTTTTAAATCAAGTTTAAAAATAAAATTATGTTTTACCTGTGGAAGCAGTTTGAACTGGATTTGCGACTGGCTGAGGTGGAACTTGAGGAGTGGTGTAATTTGTTGAATATGCAGAATTTGCAGCTGAATTAGGAGCAACTTGAGATAATGTTTGAGTTTGATAATTAGCCGTGTTGGCTGGCATATACTTTGTAGGCTTTTTTTCTGGTTTATTTTGTGTTTGCGTTGCCGTTTGTTGCTGTTGAGCTGTATTTGAATAATTTGTCGAATAAGTTGGAGCAACCGGCTGAGGGGCTTGTGTTTGGTAGTTTCCCGTATAATTTGCTTTTGCTTGTGTAGTTTGAGAAACTTGCCTCGTCGCGCCCGTGTACGCATTTGTAGTGTTGTAGGCTGGTTTGATAGCTGAAAAGTGTCGCAAAGATAATTCAATTTTGTTTACACAGTTTGTTAAAGAAAAAAAGCTCAGATACGTACCTTGCTCATATTGTGTAGTTGAATATGTAGCAGCAGCAGGTTGTTGGTAATAAGTTTTTGGTGTTTCATATGCAGCTGCAGCTGGTCTTCCATAACCATAATCATATGTTGCAGCAGTTGTTGCACCAGCTCCTACTGCTGAAAAATTATTGTTTTAGCTTTAAATTTTTCACTGACTTTATTTTCAAAAAAAATTGCAAAAATGAATTAATTTTTAAAACATAAGCAAAAGTAATTCAATTAAAATATGCAAACTTGACTAAAAGTCAATTTGTGCTTGGTAATCGAATTAATAAAAATGATGTTCTAATTGAAAGCTGTTAATTTTTTTTAGGTACATTAATTTATATGTAGCTAATAAGAATTGCTGAAAACTTTATGCCTAAATTATAATACTTATGCAGCAGCAATTAATTTACCTCCATAAGTTCCAGCATAAGCGGTGGCTGGTGTTGAATTAGTAGGAGCTGGTTGATAAGCTGTTTCATAACCTGTTCTTTGTGTAGTGTAACTAGCTGGTGTAACAGCATAGCCTGTTTGAGCAGCTTGATAGGAACCAGCTTGCCTAGAAAATAAAAGTAAAGTGCAAAATGATATCAAAACAAATTACAATATGCATGATATCATGCTTTCAACAACATAAATTTAACTGCGCAAAAACTGCCGGTTAACAATAACATTAAAAAATTTAAACAACGTAATATTATTTTGATAAAACTTTTTCTAAACCTTTACAAAAGCTTTGAATAAACAAGAATAATTCAATTTACAAAAAAATTATCCTTTAAAAACGAACATAATTGAATCTACAGCACCGAATTTACCGAGCACGTGAAGCCGATCGATGTTCCATTTCCGGTTAAAATTTAATTGTTAATTTAAAAAAAAATAGGTAAAAATGAAAATATTGATAGTAACGAATCGAATGAGGTAATTTAAAAAGATTGGTTTGAATTCTAAAAGCGACATATTATGAAGAATAAAAACTTAATATTAAAAAACCACGCCATTTTGTAATCCATGATCGATGAACCTCAAGAAAAAAATCGAATTAAAAAGTAAAAAATTACAAATAATTACTAACTAATACGAATAAAAGTAATTTTTACGGTGTTGAATAAATTACAATAAGGGGAAATAAATTGTTTTTCTTACCCGTACTGTGTTCCTCCGTGCGCAAACGAAAAATAATTATTTGACGACATCTTCTCTCCTCGAACGCGAAGTGAAGAAGGAAGCAAAGTGGAAAAGAAACCGGAAAGACGCTTAAATGAACGTGGTAAAAGTTAACATTACAACGTTGCTTAAACCGCCAATTTAATTTCAGTTAGCCATTCTCAAAATGGCGTGTGTTTGTTCGTGTTGAAAATTTTGTCACAGGTAATGTGTTTATAAAATTTTTATACTATTTATTTTTTTGTGTTTTGTCAATTAATTTTTACGAATATTAAAATTTATATAAATACCTCTCAATTTGTTTTTCTTTTCACATTGAAAAATAATTCATTTCTTTTCTTTTTTTTTTTTTTTTTATTACCACAATGACGTAAATTCGTTTTCATTTAAAAAAACGGTTTGTTCTGAATCGACTTGCAATTAAACTTTTCCAAAATTGTTTATGATGTCATGATGCCTTAAATTTTTTTTTCTTTTTTTTCAATATTATATTTATATTTTTTTAAAATGAAATCCTTTTGTTATTTTTATCTTATAGGAATTTTTTTAAATTCAGTCATTTCATTTTCAAGTTCGTTAATTATTATTTTTTTTCTTATTTCCGTTTTCGCTTTGGTGTGTTCATAGTTTTATTTTTTAAAAAAAAAAATATATATATGTTATTTTAGTTAAGAAATATTTTTTAAATAAAATTTTTTTTTCAGAATGTTTTCCTTTTTTTTTTTTATTTATTATCAATTTTTTTTTTTCTTTTTTCTTACAGGTGTGTTGTTGATACATAAAAAGTTGGCTGAGCAGGAAGGGTGCTTTAAAGACCAATTTTCATGTTTGCTCTATAATTGTGTAAAAGAAAGAAAAAGTAACTGTGATAAATATATCTTTGCCATCATTATTTCCAAACAAAAATTTTGTAATTACAAAAAAAAAAGTACCTTACAAAAATGGACTCATAAGATATATTATTAAAAAAAATTGTTATTTAAATTATTTTAAAAGTTAAAAGTTTGAAGTATTTTTTTTGTTAAAATTTGCATCGCATATCACTTGGTAATTAATTAATAATAAAAAATAATAATAATAAAAATAATACATGTTGTTTATATATATTTTTAAATTAGTGAAAAAAATACAATCGATTTACAAAAAATAATTTAATTTTTCAAAAAAAATTTTTTTCTGTGCGATAGGAACTCTAAATTAAAATGGAATGATATCAAATTTTTAAATGTTATGGATTCTTCTAATGACCTTAATGAATCTCAGGTAGAACAGAAAAATCGTTCCAAAGAAGAAATTGTATTCAAAAAAAATGCTAAACAAATATATTCGTTAAACCCTTATAAATATATCGATTACTCCTATTTGTTGGAGTTTAATTTATTAAGGTTAATGGGAATTGAAATGTCTTCTGTTCATGAAAATTATCAGACCAACAGAGGTGGTTATTGGAGAGATCGAATCACTAATGGAATCAATTTTCCACCTCTTCCTATAGTACTACCATTTTATCACAGTCCCAACATGATATCAAACACCCAAATGAATCGAAATTATTGGAATCACAATGATTATTCTAGGTAATTTAAATATGATAACTTTTTACAAATATATATATTATCTTTATTTTATTTATAAAACCAAAACAAAAGAAAAATTCTTCTCGCATGATATGTAACTAATTAACCGTGAGCATAAATTTCAAATTTTTTAGGGATGAAAGAAATAATAGGGATTCCAATCAGGACGGCTCTCATAATTCAGAGAATGGGTTTTCTTCTCCTTTGCAATGTAAAAATCACCAGACTGAAAATATTGCTATTGACGGTTCTTCTGAAGATTCTTTTCATAGTTCTGTTAGCGAAAATGGAAAAGTTAACAAGTAACTAACTCGATTTAAATTTTTTGTTTTATTAATTTATTGTTTTTGTTAAAATTAACATAAATACATATTATTTATAATTAATTTAGGAAACTCACTGGGCCAAAAGACAATAAAGGAAACAGGGTCAATAATTCTGTGTATTACTATCATAATAATAGATATCATCATGAATTTCCATTCTATCATCACCCTAGTCACAACACACAAGGATACGGAAAAAGAAAACACAATTCAGGTATGTTAAATTTTTAAAACTTTGAAAAAATGCAAACTTTTAAATTAATAATAATAATAATAATAATTTTTAATTAATTGTGTGTAATTTTAATTAAAAATAATTAGCTTTTTTTTTTTTCCTTTATCTTTTATTTACTTTTTTTATTGATACATAAAAATACTTTATTAAACTTTTTTCATTGTATGTTTTTTTTCCAGGGCACCGTTCACCTTTGGAATACGCGCTTCAAAGCATTTATAGAAACCGCGGTCAATATCATAATAATAATCACTGTCGGACGTCACACAGTTACACTGACCTTAGTTCAAATCATGGTAGCAATCGTCAATACGGGAGAAGAATGTTTATAACGAAAAATCAAAATTTTTCATCGAATGTACTGCCTGATAAATTTTTAGCAAAAGCTCATTTAATGCAAGTTACCAAAGTTCCTAGTGAATTAAACGCGGCTGGAGAATGGGGAAAAGTTTGTGTTGAAATAATAATTTTTCATTTTTATCATTATCATCTCTCTTTTTCCAGAGTATTAATGATGCGTACTTATTGTTTATTTTGACAGTTATCAAATCACATTTACAATAGGTTTTTAACAAATCAACAAACGGCGGAAACTCTTAAAAAAAAAATAACACTTTGGAGATATCTTTTCATATTTATAAGAGTGAGTCGTTATTATTTTTAAATTTAATTAATTCACGTTTAGAGCTTTTATTTAATTTTATTCGTTTTATTTCTTCCAGAATAATTTTCCTAAATATGGGTTATTTTTAGTTGGATCGACCATGAGTGGATTCGGTAGCAATGATTCGGATGTTGATATGTGTTTATTAGTGAGACACACGGAAATGGATCAGAAAAATGAAGCCGTTTCTCATTTAGGCCAAATCTCAAAGTATTTAAAAAATTGTGGTAAATAATAAATACATAAATAAAAAAATTTTTTTTAAATTTAAACTTATTTGTTTAAATGAGTTTTTTTTTTTTTTTTTACATTTGATTCATTTCAGATTTTGTAGATCAAGTTGAATTGATACAAGCAAAAGTTCCGATACTCAAATTTCGTAGTTTAGGATTTGAAGTCGATTTAAATTGTAACAATGCAGTCGGTATAAGGAACACTCATTTATTATATTGTTATTCTCAACGTAAGATTTTCCTCCATTTTAATTTTACTCGAGTTTGATATGTTGAATAAATGTACTTTTTTTTTTTTTATGTGAAGTGGACTGGCGAGTTCGACCTTTGGTGTTAATTGTTAAACTTTGGGCAGCTAAACAAAACATCAACGATGCGAAAAACATGACAATTTCAAGTTATTCACTTGCCCTCATGGTCATTCATTATTTACAGTGTATGTTGAGCAATATTTACGAGTGCATGCGATCGAGAAGAACGTAAAAGAACATTTAATTTTTTTTTTTTTTTTTTTTTGGTTTTAGGTGGAGTAAGTCCCCCCGTGTTACCGTGTTTGCACGACGTGTATAAAGAAAAATTTAATCCCCTTTCAGATATAAATCAAATTGATTTACACGAAGAACTTAAACCCTATAATTCACAAAACGAACAATCATTAGGAGAGCTTTTAGTTGGTTTCTTATTGTATTATGCAAATTTTGAGTGAGTATAAAGGAAAAAAAAAATGACATTTTATTTTCGTTTGTATAATAATTAATTTTTTTTTTTAATATTATGTTGTAGTTATTCCGTGTATGCAATATCCGTGAGACTAGGTTCAAAAGTAAATATCGAAGAATGCAGGAGAGCGAAATCTCTTAAAAACGAGCCTCATCAGTGGAAATATCTTTGTATTGAAGGTATTTTTTTTTCTCCCTTACCCCCCCTCCCCTCTTATTTTTGTTGAATTAACATTTTTATTGTTTTAGAACCATTCGACTTGACGAACACAGCACGAGCGGTTTACAACGCCATTAGGTTTCAAAGGATAAAAAAAGTTTTTTACGAATCTCATAAATATTTAGAAAAAACGCGTTGTTTGGATTCCATATTCGATCTTGAATTTTAACGCAGCGTAAGCCAAAGAACGCCAAGAATGATGGAAGGGAAAGAAAAAACAAAAAAAAAAAAAAAACAAAAACAAAAACGAAAAAAAAAAAAAAAAATTATTTTTTTTTTGGATGATTTTTTACCTTAGAGGAAAAAAAACTAAACAAAAACCAAAAAAAAAATCAAAAAGGAAAAAAGGAAAAAAATATTAATCCAAAAAAAAAAAAAAAGTTGAAAATAATGTTAACAAATTTTTAGAAGTAATTAATTTTTATAATATTTTTTTACAATTTATAGAATTCGATTGTGCCATACGAAAAAGAAAAAAAAACAATCAAAAAATTCAATAAAAACAATCGTTGAAAAAAAAGGAAAAAAGGAAAAAAAGGAAAAGAAAATTAAAATTAAAAAAAATTCAGCCCAAAAGCTGTTTGAACTTTAAATGATAATAATTTACTTCGGGTCGGAATTACATAATAATTTTGTGAATATAATAATTCTCCCCGGAAGAAATGATGATAATAATAATAATGATAATAAATTAAATAAAATTAATGGAAAAATTCCGCGAATTTATTATTTATAAAAAGGGAAAAAAAAGCAAAAAAAAAAAAAATAATAAAAATGATAAAAAATTATCAAAAAAAAAAAAAAAAATTAATTGAAATTTTCATAAATTATTGTTTTGCCTGTGTTTTATTTTTTCAATTGTTGTATATATATATATTTATATACGCAAAAGGGAAAAAGAAGAAGAAGATAAAGAAAGAAAGAAGGAGAAGAAGAAGAAAGAAACTACCCTCCTAAAAAAAAAAAAAAAACGAAAAAAATGTACATATATATATATTTATTTATTTTATTTTTTTTTTTATTTATACGAAAAATTTATTATTATTTAAAAAATTTATTAGGTCAAATTGTTTATTTATAAGTTTGTTATAATTATGAATGATTCAAAATTGAAATGTAAAAAAAAAAAAAAAGAGAAAAAAAGAAAAAAGAAAAAGGAAAGAAAAGAAAAAATGAAAACGAAAAGAAAAGAAGGAAAAAAAAAATTGTGCCAATTATTTCAATATTAATATTATTATTATTATTATTATTATTAATATCTTGGTTCTTTACTGAAAAAAGAATAAATAAAAAAAAAAAATAAATAAAAATATATGTATGTGTATTTATGTATATTTACGTATGCATTAATAATATCGATTTATATATTTATTTACATATATATACAAATTATCGATTATTAGTTAATTAAATATACGATTGATTGATTGATTGATTGATTGATAATCATTCATTCATTCATAGTAATCAACGAGAATGATGATCTCTTATTAATACTCTTTATTATAATTAAATCTTGATAATGTTATTTATCGGAAAATAAGAAAAAACAAATGTATTTATTATTATTATTATTATTATTATTATTATTATTATTGTTATTATTATTAATTATTTATTATTATTATTAATATTATCGATCGAAAATGAAGAAGGTGTTATAAAAGAAAAAAAATCAACATAACAACGAATAAAAAAATTTTTTTTTTTTTTTCTTAAACGTTAAATGGTATTTAAATTAAATAATAATAATGATAATGATTTTATAAACAAAAATAATAATAATAATAATAATAATCTGATGATTTGAGTTTACTTTGTTTTTGTTTTTAACTAAATTATTATTATTATTTTTGTTACGTTTAATTTTTTTCTTACTCATGATTTGATTTATGATTGATTATTATTTGATATTTATTTATTTATTATTATTATTTTTTTTAATCGTATAAATAATTATTATTATCATTAAGGTTGTCGAGAGAGTTTTTTTTTTTTTGATTGTAAAACAAACGACAACCAAAGGCAGAAACAAAAAAAAAAAGAAAATTTTTTGACGTACAAATTAAATATATACAAAAAGATTAGAAATAAAATTTAAAAAAAATTATCGATGATTTTCTACCACGTAATAAGAATAATAATAGTTAATAATAATAATAATAATAATAAATAAATAAATAAATCGTCGTGTGAGAAAAAAAAATAGCTTAATTAATTAATTATTAAATTTTTTTTTGTATATTTATATATATTTATACACACACACAGGCAGGCAGGCACGTTTATTACTTTGTTTTATTTATGTAAATTTTTTTTCAAGGTCAAATTTAAATGAAATTGATAAGGAAGGCACGAGGGGGGGAGGGGAAGGGACTGATAAGTCCTTTTCTCACTTATCTGTATCCGAAAAAAAAAAAAAAATTGAAATTCTGTGATTATAATGATTTTTGTTATATTTTTTACACTTGTCATTTATAAATAATTAATAATAATAATGATAATCAAGACTGAAATTTTTGTTAATAATAATAATAATAATAATAACAAATTTATGGTATTTTTTTTTTAAAGCGATAAAAATTAAAAATTGTAACAATTATTTTTGTAAGTTTAATCGATAACATAATCATGTTTTTTGTTTGTTTACTTTGAGAATTAATTATTATTATTATCAAATGAATTTAGTTTTTGCTAGTTTTTTTTTTGAATTAAAGAAGGAAAAGACTAAAACAAAATATATACATAATTATTTTTTAATTTAAATTTATTTAAATATTAAATAATAATATAAACAAATTAATCGAACAAAAAATTTTTTTTTTTTTTTTTATTTAATTGTTAAAAGAAAATTATAAAAAAAATTTTTTTATTTTTGTTTTGTTTTTGTTAATACACATATTGAAGCATTCCATAAAAAAAAAAAAAATTGTTTTAATTTTTTTTTTCATTTTTCCATCGATTTAATCATTCGAATTTAATTACCTTTTTCCGATTAGTCATTTTGACCTTTGGATCTTATTGAATTTGTTGTTATTTATAATAAAAAATATTGGTAATGTTATTAATTATTCTTATGAACTAAATCTTAAATTGTTTTCATTTATACATAAATATAAAGTTTTACATTTCAGTCATTTGTAAGTATAAAGAAACAGAATGTATAAGAAATCGAATGTTTGTTATAATTAAAATTAAATGATTTGTTCATTTTAATTTTTTTTTAATTTTTTAAACTTTGTTTTTATAAGCAATCAAATTTAAAAAGTATTACAGATTTACAAATTTATATAAATATATATATATAGATATATAACAAATAAATTAGAAAAAAAAAAAAAAGGGGGGAAACATTTAAATTTTATTAATCTAATTTTTCCAATGATTCAACACTACTCGAACTCAGGTCTTGATATTTAGAATCACAATTCCAATTTTTATCATTTTCGTTATTTTTCAAATTTGTATTGTTTTTGACATTTTCTACGGGTTTTGCACTCCATATTCTCATGGCAATGGGATAGATAAATTTGTACCACAGCAAAAATAAAACTGGCCACATAAAGCAACTAATGCACACCATTTTTAATTAACCTGTAAATGCAAAATTTTTGTGAATCAATTTCAGCAAATGGATTCGTTATATTTAAATCAACGTCTGAAATATCAATATATATATATATATATATATATATATATAATATTACAAATGATTAAATAAACCATTTTTTTTTTTTTTTAAATTTTTTCTATTGTCACAATAACGGGTGAAACTTTTCTCAGTTAAATAAAAATTTCTCTTTCTCCGCTTTAAAAATTTACTTCCGCCATATTAATAATACCCTAATGATAATATTAAATAAAATAAATAAATAAATAAATAAATTACCAATTCGTTACACGAAGTAATTTTAAAATAAATTAATCAAATTTACAATTCAATGACAAATTGATCAAAATATAAAGAATGAAGGAAAAAAAAAAAAAAAAGTAGCAGACGACGTTGTTCTAATTCCACGTTTTTATTAAAAATTCATGGAATCATTTTGAAATTTTCATTGTTGGTAAAGTTAAATTTATTATATAATTATAGTTAAAAATGTGAAACAGATGTATTATTATTATTATTTCAAATTTGGAAATCAATCATGATCGAGTGTAAAAATTAAAAGTAAGTAAAAACTATTTTATTTTATTTAAAAAGTTTTAATAATAACAACGTGTATAAATAATAATGATAATAGTAGTAGTAATGGTGATGCAATGGTTAGAACAAACTTAAAAACCGTTAATTTTTTTTCAAAAAAAAAAAAAAAAAAAACTTTTTTCATTCAAAAGGATTATTTATTTTATATTTTATGTTTTATTTTATTTTATTTTATATAAAAACAAACTTTATAATGTTTTATTTAATTACAACTCAACATGATCTTTGTTTGGTATGTAAATCTTACTTTTTTTTTGCAAAAAATTTTTTTTGAATTTTATTCACAATGATTAAAAAAATATTTTTAATTGATATATATATATATATTTATATATTAACTTTAAATTACAATAAATCATAAAGAGATATCATCTTAGATTAAAATAAATAAATTTTAAACAAAGAGAAACAAACACAAAAAATAAAATAAAATAAGACACAAAATGAAAAGAAAATTTTATTATTATTATTATTATTAATATTATTATTAATAAAATTACGTTTTTAATTTAACATTTTTTTTAGTTTTAATGAATACAATGAAAATATAATGTTATTTAGGCACTAGGGCATTAATTTTTCTTCTTTGGTTTTTTTGTCTTGGTTAAGGGGCTATCTCATAAGCCAACTTAATAAAAATGATAATAATAAAAATCCCCATTTTATTGTAACGGAATGTTTACCACCATGATGTAGTTCTGCTAAACTTTGTTCTGTAACAATCAATCACAAAAAAAAACAAAAACATTTGATGTTTAATAATTAAACTTTTGGAAAAGGTTTCAAATACCATAAACAAACAAACAAACCGTTTAATATGTGAACCGTTACAGTTGCATATTCTGTTTTAGATATTGAACATGTATAATTTCCACTATCAGTTTTATTTACTTTTGCAACTGATAAAGTACTATTTGCACCCGCTTCCATTAGTTCAGTTTTCACGCTGTAACAAATAATTTATTTAAAAAAAAAAAAATGGTTTAACACCATTGATAATTACCATTATCATCATTATAATAGTTAATAATTATTCATCGTCTGCTTAAAACATACCTTATACCACCTCGTGTTAAATCATAATTTAAAATTCTATTTCCATGCATCCATAGAACAACGGATGACGTCATTGATACATGTCTAACTATGCAAGATAATTGTATGGTACTGTCAGACTCATAATATTTATCCATAAGTTGCATTCCGTGTTCGTCAACTATAACAACTTCTGGTGCTGTTAAAATAAAACATGATGATGATGATGATGACAAAATCAAAAAAATTAATAATAATAATAATAATTTTAATTTAACAAACCGTTTATGTATAAAAATATTTGTGTGACTTTTGGTGGATGAGTTGATATTTGACATTCGTATAATCCTTCATCTTTTTTATTGACTAATTTAATTTGTAATCTCCAGTTTCCCGGATATTGAAATTCTAAACTGTATCTTGTATCACCGCTGTATGTGTGTCTACCAACCGTTAACAATTGCAATTCGTTATTTTCTTTTCTTCTCATCCAAGATATCTATTAAAAAAAAAATTGTATTGATTTTTCTTTTTCAAATCAAATCAAATTTATGTTTAAATTGTTACAAACCGTTTTATCTTGTAAAAAATTAACTTTGCAATTTAATAATGCCGTATCTCCGACTTGGACGGTTACGGTGGTACCATTTAAATGTATTTCAGATGGTTCGAAATGAGGTCCCCATTTATATGTATCGTGATGATGATGTTTTCCTTTCGATGAGTGCGAATCGAATATGTAATTTAACATAGGAGCATCGGTTTTTAAATAATCTCTATTATTCTTATGTTGTTTTCCAACAACAACGGTCGATGGTTGAGATGTCGATAATAATAATAATTTATTTCCTATTATTGTTACTGGTGACGTCGAATATGACGAAGTATTTAACGGAAGAGTTATTTCCGTTGTTTGATCTAAAGACATGGCTAAAAATTTATCTGGAAAAAAAAACGATCCAACCTGTTAATTACACCTTTTTTTGTTGTTTATAAATTAAAAAAAAAAAGGTTGTTTGTTATCTTATCATCTAAATTAAAATTTTAAAAAAAAAATGTTTATAATTAATTAATTTGTTAAATAATTAATTACCTGTTGAAAAACAATTAACGCTCTGCATGGTAATAAATAATAAAAGAAAAAACTTCATATTATTTCCGTTAGCTTTCCATTTGTTGGAAAATCATATTGATAATTAATATTTCTTATCAATTAATGAGTGATTATATATATTATCGATAGATGTCACTGAAAAGAAGTTTTTCATTTGAATTTTTTCTAGAAAAAAAAAAAAAAAAGAAAAAATTAATTAATTAAATTTGAATTTTATTTATTTAAAAAAAAAAAAAAAAAAAAAAAAAACAGGATTTAATTTTAACGCCGTTTTCTTTTTGGGAGAGGAGCGGAGGGGAGAGGGGTAGTAAAGGGTGCATGAAAAATTAATTAAATTGTTTTTTTGAGTAAACTGGAAAAACTTTTCCTTTTTTTAATTTTTTTGTCTGTAACGAAAAAAAAAAAGGTTAATTAATAAACGCTTAATGTTTTTGTTTTTTTTAACGAAATAAGTAATAAGCTAAACATAATAATTACGAGTTAATTTCACTCCGAAGAAATTTTTCCGGAGAAAAAAAAAATATATATATATTTATTAATAATTTAAACGTGTTTAATGTTCCAGAAAAGGAAAGAAAAAGGAAATTTTCTTTTTTTTTTTTGTTTGTTTTCTTAAAACATATTTGTTGGCCCCGTGGCAAGAGTGATAATAAATAAAATGTGCATGCTTTCGAAAAAAAAAAAAAAAATCACATAAATTCGGTTATGAAAATGTAATAATAATAATAATAATAATTGAAAAAATTGTTAATGTTATAGGGAATAATCCAGAAGAAAAAAAAAAAAATTTCTGGCTAATGAAGTAACAAAAAAAAAAAAGTTCAATTTACTGGAAAGGTTTTTTTTTTTCGATAATTGTGAATATTTTTTTTTTTTTTTTTTTTCGTAAATGAAAATTTAATTTTCTTTCTTTTTTTTTTTTAATTAAAACCTTTTGTTTTTCTATTTTATTTTCCATTCGTTAACTTTGAGTTTAGTAACGGGGGGGGGGGGGGAAAGGCGGAAAATGGAAAGAGAAAACAAAAAAAAAAAACTATTTTACGAAAATAAACATGAATCAATACTAATAATGGATGACATTTCAAACAATTTTTTCATTTTCCAAGACTTGTTTTTTTATCCCATCAACATATTTTTATAAAATCCTCATTTCCAGCCTCCCCACTGCCGCCACTACCACTACCACCATCACCTCCCTGTTTTTCTACCTCCCTAACTCTCTGCCTAACTCTTTTATACAGTTTTACGCGTTTACAATAATTTAAAATTTTTTTTATTTTTATTTTTTTTCCAGTGCGTTGTTGACTTATTTTCGTCTGCTTTTGTTTTTTCTTTATTTTTATATCATAAATGCGGCGAACACAAAAGAAACAGTAAAAAGGTAAATTCATTTATTCTTTTTTTCTTTTTTATTTGTTTTTTTCACGAGTGCGTTTTACATTAAAAAAAAAAAAGGTTATACAAAATTATTCACCGTAACTTTATGTGTGTGCACCTTTTCTTTTTTTTTATAATTCATTTTTTTTTTTTTAAATTATTTTTCTTTACAATTTTTTGTTTTTTTTTTATAAAAAATCCCTGGAAAAAAGAGAGAGAGAAAGAGAGAGTAGAAAAATTTTTGCGAAAAAAAAGGGAAAAGAGATAGGAGACAGAGAGAGAAAAGTTTTTATAAAAATTATAGAGAGAGAGAGGAGGACAAGTCTTTACAAAAATACAGAGGGAGTGAGAGAGAGAGAAAGATTGTGAAAAAGTTTTTGTAAAAAAAGAAATAGAAAAAACAAAAAAAAAAGAAACATACAAAAAAAGAGAGAGAGAGAGAAAAAGAAAAGTGTTTACAAAAACTTAGAGTGAAAGAGAAAAAAAAGAAACAGAGAGATAGAGAAAGAGAGAGTAATAAGAAATAAAGAGAAATAGAAAAACAGAGAGAGTGAGAGAGAAAAATCTTTACAAAATCATAGGCAGAGAGACAAAGAAAGAAAAGTCTTTTCAAAAACTTAGAGAGAGAGAGAGAGGAAGAAAAGTCTTTACAAAAATAAAGAGAGTGAAAGAGAAAAATAAAAAAACACACAACGAAAGAGAAAAATTAAGAAACAGAGAGCAAGAAAGAAAAATTAAGAAATAAACAGCGAAAGAGAAAAATTAAGACACAAAGAATGAAAGAGAAAAATTAAAGAAACAGAGAAAGAAAGAAAGAGAGAGAGAGAGAGAGAGAACCCAGAAAATAAAATAAAAATTTTTTCATTTAAAAAAAATTTTCCTTTTTTTAATTTAATTATTAACGATTATATCGATATAAAATTAATAAATAAAACAAAAAAGGAAACAAATTATTAGAAATCATTTAAAACGTTT